GCGGAACCACCCTATTTGAATGAACAAATGAATGAATGAGTGCCCTCCCCCTGGCAGCTTCTGTGTACTGCCTGTCTGTGTGTCTGTGTGTGTGTGTGTGTGTGTGGGAAATCCTCCCCAGCATTATTGTTTTTATCTTCGCTCATAAAACACTCATAACTGAACGCTTTCCATTGCAGACTCTCACCATGTCCACCAGCCCAAAACCGGTTAAGAAGGTACCGATTCACTTGCAGAGCGCTGCCAATCGTGTTTACATCAAGAATGGTAAGGGAGAGGGGTAAACCCAGGTGTGTGTTCCACAAAGATTCTAAATGTTTTTTTTTGTTCCTTTTGCTTTTCAGGCGAGATCGTCAACCATGATAAATCGTTCAAAGCGGACGTCTACATTGAGGATGGAACTATCAAGTATGTGGTGCCATAATTTAATCAATGAAATTCACACTAATGGTTATCCCAATGCTTGTGTAGATTCGTGGGACCCCCTTCGGAGATTACAATACCCGGCGGCGTGCGTACCATTGACGCCAGTGGGCTGCTAATCATACCCGGTGGCATCGATCCCCATACGCACATGCAGCTGCCTTTTGGTGGCGCTGTGGCCGTCGATGATTTCTATCATGGCACCAAGGCTGCCGTCGCTGGGGGCACCACCATGATAAGTAAGTTGCTCACCTTATGATCCCATGGGTGTCACGAAGGAGATAACTAATTGCGATTATACTCAGTCGATTTTGTGCTGCCCAATAAACACGAGTCGATGATAGAGGCATACGACAAGTGGCGCAGCTGGGCCGATCCCAAAGTCTGTTGCGACTATGGCCTGCATGTGGGCATCACCTGGTGGTCCAAGTCAGTCTCCGAGGAGCTGGGTATTCTGTGCAAAGAGCTGGGAGTCAATTCCTTCAAAACATTCATGGCCTACAAGGGTCTCTATCAGGTGGGTGTTTATTTATTTATTCTATAACATTTCTCATTGAATTTCTATAATTTACTCATTCATTTGCTTGTAGCTAAACGATTCCGACCTGTTGGATGTGTTTGAGCGTATTCGACAATTGAATGGCGTGGCTATGGTAAGTTTTCCGACTTACTTTATTTTCATAAAACCCCAAAAAGTTGTTTGAAAATCGATAATCTGGTATTATTGATACATCCTTTAAAAATACGCTGAGATACCGATATCGAATGCACTTTTACTGCAAGCAACTGTACGTTCCTCTCCTTTTTCAACAGGTGCATGCAGAAAATGGCGACATTATTGCTAAGAATACGCAACGTCTGCTGGCAGAAGGCATTACTGGACCGGAAGGCCATGAACTTTCGCGACCAGAGGAAGTGGAGGCCGAGGCGGTGCATCGCGCCTGCGTTCTGGCCCACCAGGTAAGACACTCCCAAAAGCAAGTCGTTCGTTATCCCACATTGAGAGTGGGGGGCGGTGTATAGAAAAAGAGTTGTACGTACAGTTCCTGTACTACGAGCCGGGGACTGTAATTTAATCTATTTATTTATGTTGTATATTCTTTTAATTTTGTTATTATTTCTTATCCATTGTGTATGATGCACCCTTGTACATATTATGCGGTATGCGGCACACACGATATAACCCCTATATACCTACATATAAAACGAATGAATCCGAAATCTATATCCGATGGTGATCCGTTGGTGCCTTAAAAGTCCGATTGCCCGCTGTATGTGGTTCATGTGATGAGCAAATCGGCGGGCATTGAGCTGGCCAGAGCCCGGCAACGGTATAGAGGTCGTTACATAATGGGAGAGACCCTGGCCGCGGCGTTGGGCACTGACGCCACATGCTGCTTCCACATGGGCTACGAACATGAGGCGGCGCATGTGCTCAGCCCACCATTGAGGCCCGATCCGACGACACGAGAATTCCTGATGAAGCTCCTGGCTAAGTAAGTTTTGCAGCTCGACTAGACTCGACTTCTCAGGGGTTTAGCATGTCTCTGGCTGATGCTGCTGACTAACGCCTACTAACTCTGGGATACTATGCTCATGCCTGCTCATAGCTATTAGCTACATATATCTACTAACTGCTAATTGGCGCTCCTGCGCCACACTCTAATCCAACCCACTAATCCAAATCTAACAATCTATGTTCATGCTTTCACTCACACACGCATACGCAAATCGCTCGCTCGTCCGCTTAGATGAAGACGCCGCTCTTTGTGTCCGGCCTGACCAGCAAATCCTCCGCCGAGCTTGTCGGCCGTGCCCGCCGCAGTGGCTACTGTGTCTTTGGCGAGACGCTGGCCAGCTCCATCGGCCGTTCGATGAGCGGCGTGTCGAAGGGGGAGCGCATCTACTACATCACCAGTCCTCCGATACGCGAGTCAGCGGAAACGCCAAGGCAGCTCATGAAGTCATTGGCGTAGTAAGTACTTCCCTTCGTTACCATTCCCTTGCTGGTGATTCGTTTTGTTTTGTTTTGTTTCGTTTCGTTTGATTTTTGTTTAATTGATGAATCTCCTTGCTATAATAATCTCTTACTCTGCCGCACTGCAGCGATGATCTGCAGCTGACGGGCAGCGACAACTGCACGTTCAACAAGGAGCACAAGGCAAAGGGCAAGGGAGACTTCACCAAGATACCGAATGGCGTCAATGGTGTTGAGGATCGCATGTCCTTGGTGTGGGAGAAGGGTGTACAGGCGGGTCTACTCGATCCCTGCCGCTTTGTGGCCGTGACCAGCACAAATGCGGCCAAGATCTTCAACATTTATCCGCAAAAGGGACGCATTGGTAGGAACACCAATAACTAATGGATCATGGAGCGGATTATATCATTTCTTTTCTCCTTAGCTGTCGGATCGGATGCCGATATTGTGATCTGGAATCCGAATGCCACGCGTACCATATCCAAGGACACGCACCATCAGGCTTGTGACTTCAACATCTTCGAGGGCATGACCGTACACGGTGTCTGCGAATATGTCCTGGTGCGTGGACGCATCTGTGCCGAAAATGGGCAGGTGCGTGTCGCGGAGGGCTTTGGCCGATTCATCCCTACGCCGGTGCGTCCGCCGTTTGTCTATGACATTATCGAGGGCAAAGTGCAATCGGCAGTGCAGGAGGACCATCCCGAGGAGCGGCAGAATGGTGGCGGCAACAGCGTGGCCAAGAAGTTTGCCGAACTGGACATCCAGATACCCATTCAAGAGCCAATTAGCGCCATGCTGGCCGGCAACCTGGCCATGCCGGCGGAGGGTTCCCTGTGCAGTACGCCCTCGGTGCGTGGACGTGTCGATGGCAAGCACGATATGCAACAGTCATCCTTTTCGATTAGCGGTGAGTGGTGGTAGTTTCCCTTGAAGTAATTATGAATAAATAACTAATCCATATTATTTTCTATAGAGGAGCTCGATAGGGGTAGTGTGAGATCCTGCATCAAGGTGAAGAACCCACCTGGCGGCAAGTCTTCCGGATTCTGGTAGATGCGATGCCACTCACCTGGCGCTTCGCTTCGAATCGCACAATGCATCATGACACGGACAGGCAGCATTGCGAGCCAAAGTCTGTCTGTTCCCCATGCGCTCATTCAATAACTAATAACTCTGGCATTTAATATACCGATCCTGAAACATACATCGTAACCAAACTTGAAATTAAGTAAACATATAGCCACGTCCCCAACTTAAGGAAGATAATAATACCATACATACCATCTGCATCTGCATCTGTCATTGCCGCCTCTCTTGTTATCAATAGCTTTTTGTTAGGATCCTCTGAGATATCTGACAACTTGCAGCAGGATGATGGATGAAGCCTGCTTTAGAGGATTATGAAAATCAAACAAAGTGCTTTTTTAGGATACTCTTTTGTTGTTAACAAACACACATTTATTTATACGATATTTGCTTATTTACATTGAGATTTAGCACAATTTTGTTTGGTACGATCGTACGTACATCTTGAAAGTTATGATAGGGCTATGATATCTAAGTCTTGATAGACGAATTCGAGCTGGAATATATAGTAAACGATATAGACTTTTGCAATGGTTTAATCCGCTTTTGAAATGCTGTATCCGTATGCCCCCCTTCCCACACACGCATAACCCCCTCATTCGTAAGCCCCCGGAATTCATCAATCAATCATTGGAGAGTGAACAACCGATTGGGAACAACAATTTTTGGCGAACTTCATCTGAGGATATCTAAAATTAGATACTATCATCGTTTTTCGATGAAAATTTATATAAAATTGCATAAATATTTATTATATACGAGTATACTACTTTATATACATACATTTAAATACAACAAACAAACAAAGCCGAACACAAAGAACAAAACTAATAAACTTTACCAAAAAAAAAAAAAACTAAAAATCGAATCTAGATATAGATTGTTTGTTTTATTGGATGGGACATGAAAACACTTTTGAATGGTTAGATTAATAAGTGACGCTCATTGACTTAATTTAAAGTTTCTTATTTATCAGGAAACTCATTCGAAATGTGTCCAATTTTGTACCTTTGTCACCTGTTGAAACGTAACATTGTATGTTTCCTTTTACAGAATATTTGTTTACTAATCCGTATGGAATTATGTCTGATCCATTTCAAATGTATCTAGTTTCATTTTGTTATTAATGCATGGGCATTGAAATCTCTTGAAACTGAAAATTGATTTACTGATCCATGTGGTATAAAATTCGAATCGCTTCTTATTAGGAAGGTTTTTCCAACCTTTAACTTCCTGGTATAAAATGAGAAAGGAACTTAGAGCTCTATAAGACTGAAAACACTTGGTTTATTTTTAGCGAATGAATCTATAAGAAATTAACTTCTATGATGGCTTTTGAAGTGTCTAACACCTATAAGGAAACCCATTCCACAGTTCTTCACTTGAATGGGTTTATAATTTCCATAATTTCCATATGCAGTAGACACCTTCAAGTCCCTGCTGTAAGGGCAGATACTTTCTTATGGATCGGCTATGATAGAACCTGTAGTAAACCCACAACATCGAGGGTGGACATTTAAAGACAGTTTATAAATTGGATTAGTTAATGATCGCGTTTATTTTCAATTATATGGATATTTACAAAACGATTTAGCACAATTAATATAATATATGTATAATATGCATACGCTTATCAATTGTGTGTGTGTGTTTGTGTGTGTTTAATGCATACTAGTACTCGTACCGTACACTCACTCTCTATTCAATAAACGATGACTGACAGACAGATGACCATGTAAAATCAAGTGCTTTGAAACTTTCATAAATCAAAACTGCATACACCACTCACCAAACGGAAAGGGAGGAGTGCACACAGCTATTTACGTGTCTATATGAATACATAATTACAATTTCTTTTTATAACGATCAAAATTAAAATACACCCATAGCCGGATACACCCGAGCCGGAGCTACAACTGAACAGAGTAGTGTGTAGTGGTGTTGCTTTTGTGCCATGTCAATGGGTGGTTTATCGCGGTGTAATGGTTGCAGGGCCATATTAATAATGATTTTTAATTGTGGCTTTAAACTTAATTATTTAAATTATCAGAGGTAAAATACAATATGTTCTGGCACGGCACTCTTCTTCCGTGCCACTACTTACATTCGCGCTAATGCAAAAACAGGTAATAGTTATATCATTACAAGTGTCATGCTACATAATAAACAATCTAATCAACTAAATCTGTATGTTTGTATTTGTTGTATAAATAAACTGCCTTTACTTTGGGGGCTAAACAAAATATTGGGAGGGGTGGGTGGCCAAGAGGTTTGCTTAATATTTAAATATCTTCCATTCAGTGTGTGTGTTTTCGCTTATGCCCTAAAAATCATTCGTAATGTGACCTAAAATTGACTTAACAACTAAATTCCAATAGTACATAAATGACCATTTATGAGTGTTTTTTTCTTTCTTCTTCTCTTGTTTTTCTTTTTATTTTGCGAGTGTGGCCGGTGAATATTTTTGTTGATGGTAGACTGTAGGAATGCATGCGACCGCTAAAATGGTTTTCGTTTCGTTCAATCCACCCCAAAAATGCTATAAAAATAAACCATTAGAACATTCGATTTTAATTGGATTCTTTATAGACTTTGGGTACTTACTGCCACATCCAAGACGCTGCTCAATTGCTCTGTGGGTCTCCAGCTTATAGCTTCTTTAAATAGGCGGCACACTTGACGGCGCTGCTAACCTGCCCCGTATTGAGGAGACTCAACTTCTTGTGCTTCGCGCGGAACTTCCTCACATAGGCATCAATTAGATTTTTAATCTTGTGTGGATTAATTTCACCCGACCGACTGTGACAGATCTGCAAATAAAAAACATTCAAAGGAATTTAAGTTTGAATATTGTTCTTCCTTCATTTATGGTGTGGTTTCCTCTCTAACCTTTGGCACAGCCCTTCGCATGATGTCCTTGTAATCCTCCTTGGTAATCACCTTCTTGTTAAAGTGCGGCTTCAATACCAATTTCACTTCCTCAACGACACGCTCCTGTCGATTCAGCTTACGCAAAAACTAAAAATGCAAATGCAACGAAATTCATAATTTGTCGACTGCTCAGCGTTGAGTGCTTGACATTGACTCACTCTATCCTTATTCTGCAGATCCGTTGCCGAATTGGGCAGATCATCGTATGCCGCCTTGTGGTCGTCCGATGATTTGCCACCTAACAAAAAAGGTTAAAGAATAAATATGAAAGACATTATTAATGGGAATTATTTAAAATTGTCTGTTCTGTGTGTTCAACTGGGGAAACGCAAGCTCTAAGTGGACCAAAGCGAATGATAAAAGCGCAAGCTATCGTTTTTATAGCCTGTGTTTTAAATCATTTCAAGCCACTTTTTTTTATCGCCAAATGCTCTTTTATGAGTCCCGTCTAAGAACGTTTCTATGTTCGTTTACAAACATTTCAGATGTGTTTTTTTTTGGTCCACTTGTAAAGTTTTAGCATCTCTTTAGTTTGAGTATTTAAATCCCCATGGGCACTTCAAAACATTATAAAATATCTAAAGTTTGGCTAGCGGCATGGATTAGGAATTCTAACTGGGACACACAACGTACCTTTTCTAGATTTACGTTCGCCTTTGTTGTTACCCCTTTGGGATTTCTTGAAGCGCGACATCCTGGCAATATTGCCCACTGGTGAGGTGCTGCCAAAGAGATTGTCGAACATCTCAGTCTTGGCACCACCTTTCGAGCGTTGTTGCTGCGGCGGCTCGAACAGATCCTCATAGTCTGCCGATCCTGGTGAATATGGGCTCTCAATATCCATGGTAAAGGAGTCGTCCAGTGCACTAACCGTTGCACTCGCTGCATTGCCGCTGCCGCCGCCGCCGTTGCGCAGGCCAGAGCTTGTGGTGGGCAGATTGGCGATGCCACAGCTGCTACTGCTGGCCACGCTGCCGCCACCCGCCTTCGGTAGCGGCGTGAGCTTCTTGGCCAGCGGCGTTGGACTAGAAATCACCGGTATATGCTGGGAGCTGGACACCACGCTGCTGCCCGAGAGCAGCACATTGGAGAGGACTGTGATGGTATTGCCTTCGGCCAGCGTTTTATCGTGGCCTCCATCGCCACCGCCACCGCCTCCACCCGCACTCGAACCGACGACGGAACTGCTGCTGCCGAGATACTGCGTGGAGGTGACAACGTCGCAGGCCTTGCCGCCGGCCTTCTCCTGCTGCTGGCTGCCGGCGTTGGTACTTTGGTTCGGCTTGTTCATCAGCGCCATCACCAGATCCACGGGATTGATGACACCACTCGCCTGTGTCTGGGTCTGCGTCGAGGTGCTGTTCGAGACGGCTGTTGGGGCCAGGCTGTGGCTGTGACTGTGGCTATCGCTGTCGGATTTATCCCCTGGACCTGCTGCGCCCGAGCTATTGGGCAGCGCCTGCTCCAGATTCTGTGTGGGTTCGGGCGTCGGTGATCGGGGCGACAGGGAGGGCGACTTGGTCGGCTCAAACGGATCGTAGGCATCCGGGGAGCAGGGTCCCGACTCTGGCGGCGTATTCGGTCCGATCTTCTGTGTGCCGCTGTCGTGGCTATGGCCATGCGGCTGCTGCTGCTGTTGCTGTCCATCATCATTGTCGTGGTCGTCGATGCCAGCGCCAGGCAGCTCCCTCGAGGAGCAGGCAGCCTCCAGCTCGTCCGCCGAATTGATGTCATCGGCATCCTCGTGCAGGGGATTGCTGCGCACGTTGTGCTGTTTCTTGGCAGGTAGATTGAACTTGACAATTGGTGGCTCTGGCGGGGTCTTGGGCCCTGTCGTCTGCTGCAGAGTCTCGTACGAGGAGGTCTCCATAATCGTGGCCAGCGAATCGACCTGTGGCGTCTTCTCCCGCTGACCGTTCTCCCGCATCAGGTCGTGGTGCTCCGCCGGTGATGCCACGCCACTGCCGCGTCGCCGCTGGTGTCGCTCCCGCTGCTGTTGCTGCTGCTGCTGCTCCTGCTGCTGCTGTTCTGCTCTGCTCTCTCTCTCCCTATCCCTGCGCATCGGATGCGGCGGCGGCGGCGCCTCGTTGGCATCTTCGCTGTCCGTGAGCACAATCACATCCGCGGGCTCCTGATGCACCTGGAACGGGGAGCGCTCCAAGTCTATGATGGCCACCGGCTTGGCGTCCAACTTCTTGCGCTTGCGGATTTTGTCCTTCTTCAGCTTTGGCTTCACGCTGGCGTTGCTCAGCAGCCGGTCCATGGAGGAGCCGGTCAAACGATTCGCCAGAAGATCATCATGCCGCAGCGCGGGCATGGTCACCACCGTCTGCTGCTGTTGCTGCTGCTGCAGCTGCTGTTGCTGCAGGGCACTCGCCATCGTGCCGCTGGCCGGCTCCTTGTTGAAGCTGACGCTCACGAGGATGTTGTTGCCCGAGGCAAAGACCTCCTTCGAGGGTATCGGCTCGGGTGTTTGGGTGCGACGCTTGCGATTCTTCTTCTCCTTGCGCTGCAGCTTGTCGATTGGCTTCTTTTTCTTTTTGCTCTTGTCCCGCTTCCGTTTCGCCTTCTTGCCAATGCCCAGTGGCGTCACACTGCGTCGCCCATCATCCGCATAGTGGCCGTGGCCGGGATGACCAAGCAGGCCCTTGGGCGAGCCCAGAGGCGGTGTCCACGAGGAGTTCTTGTCACCGCCATCGTGTATAAACTTCATATGATCATCGGAGAGGCTGGGCGATGGCGACCAATGGCCCGTCGACACACCCTTGCTGATGGGCGGCGAGTGGCGTCGCTTCTTTTGGGGCGCCAGGAAGTCATCGGCGTCCTCAAACGGATCGCGCTGTCGCGAGATGCGCCTCATGCGAGCGGCCGTTGTCGGACTAGTGCTGGCCGTCCGCTTCTTGTTTTTCTTCTTCTTGTCCGCTTTCTTCTTCTTCTTCTTGGTCACCGCCTTGGGGCTCTTCGAACGCGTCCGACTGCGACTCAGTCGAGGCGTATAGCGCGGCGAATTGTGGTACACGGGCGGTGGCGCCAAGTTACGGCCTCCATTCACTCGCGTGGGCGTGTGGGAGCCAGATCTTAGTGAAATGGGGCTATGACCACCGCGCTCCATCGCGTGCATCGGATGCATTGGCGGCGACTCCCTTCGCTGCTTGGGTGGCGATGCCGACGGCGAGCGCACATAGCGACGTCCTGGTCCCGGCGACATGGACCTGCGTCGCTGCTGCTTGCGATGCGGCGACGTGCCCGGCGGCGGTGAGGGCGATATACTGAAGCTGCGCAACCGCTTGGGCGTTGGCGAACGCGAGCGTGAGCGTGAGGGTGCACCACCACGGGAGCCGCTGCGCGAGAACGCAGGACTGTGGGAGGAGCGACGACGCTCAAAGCTGCCGCCGGAACGACTCCTCGCCGAGCGCATGGCATCGCGGCCATAGCGATCCTTGGCCGTGGGCATATTATGGCGCGACCCGGCGCCCACCACATTGCGCACATCGTAGCGTGCCAGCTCCCGTCGCTTGGGACGCTGATAGAAGTTCTGGTTCTGGCTCTGGTTCTGCATGTGGTACTGGTTGTTCTGATTGTTGTGGAAATAGTGCGGATTCTGGTGGTTCTGGCCCTGGTTGTGGAAATGCTGGTACGGCCGATTGTGGAACTGCTGCTGATTCCGGTTGTAGTTGAAGCGCAGGCCGCCACGGCCACGCTGGAATCCGCCACGTTGGAAGTCGCGACCACGGAACGACCGTCCATGGCGTCCATTTGAGTGGGAGCGCGAACGGGAACGGGACCTCGAGTAAGACTTAGAGCGGCTGCCACGCGGCCTGCGTCGGTTGCGACTCCGAATGGGGCTCCGACTGCGACTTCTGCTCGGACTGCGGCTGCGGCTGCGACTGCGGCTGTGGGGCTGCGGCGGACTCCGCGAGCCCCTGGGCGACTGGGGACTCCTGGACGCCGCCGAACTCCTTCGCGGTGTCTTTGTGCGTCGTCGGGAGCCGCTGCGTGCATCGTCCGTCTGCTTATCGCCGCGATAGTTGCGCTCTTTGGGCCGCTTGCTCACCTTCTTGAAGGTCTCATCCTTGCCACGCTTCGAACGTTTTGATTTGCTTTCGTTTTCTCTCGATGGATCCTTGGCGGCACCGCCGGTGGCAGCTCCTCCTCCTGCTCCTTCGCTGCGTCGACGACTGCGACTGCGACTGCGTCTCTGCTTCGAATCATTCTCATTGGCCAAATCATCCTCGGAAATGAGTTCCGTGCCAATGTTCTCCGGCGCCTCTTGCTCTGCATTTTCCTCGTCGTCACTGGACTTGGAGCAGGGCGTCTTGGGACTAGTGGACACATCGGCCTGCTGCCGTTCGCTCGCTGCAGAGGCCTCCTCGTCATCGTCATCGTCTCCTTTTTCATCCAGACAGGGCGTGTAGGAACGATCTGGCTCTCGGTCGCTGCTACTTCTATTCCTTGCTGCACCCTCCTTGTCCTTCTTCTTGGCAGGCGTTGGGAGCTGGGAGGTGGCAGCCACAGCCGGTGTCTCTGCTGCAGCCACTTCTGTGGTGGCATCCAACGCCTTTTCAAACTCTTTGGGCTTGTCAATGTCCAGCTCCTCCCAGTCGCTGTCGTCATACAGCTCCAGCACACCCTTGCCTCTGTCCCCTTCGGCTCCAGCACGATCCCGCACCCTAGCACTGGGACTGGGAGTGCTGTGCGTCTTGGTCTCCTCATCTTCGTCCACTGTTGGCTCCAGATTTGAGTTGCTATTACTCGAAATTCGTTCCGTTTCGGGTTCTGGCTCTGCCCGTGGCTCGAGCTCAGGTTCCTCCTCCTCCTCCATGGGTTCTCCATCGATGTTGGAGTCGCCCTCCTCCTGCTCTTCTGTGGGATTCTCTGGCTCGTACAGATCGGATGGCTTTTCTGGCGGCAATGGTATGCTGTTATCCTCCTGCGCTGCTGCAGCATCCTCCTCATCATCATCGTCGTCGTCTAATTGTACTAAATCCTCATTCATGTCATCGTCCTCCTGCATGGAAGGTATTTGCGATTAAAGAGAGATTGTAGAGGAAAAGAGTAGGCAGAGGGATGGATAAGTGGAAAGGATGCCCTCACTCAAAATCATTAAAGCTTTGAATCTACGCGAAAAATGAATCTCAAAACAGGAAGGAAAGACTTATCCATCGGAATCTTTTATAATTCTCTGCCACTTCTCAAACAAATCAAAACAGGTTGCATACCTTGTCTGCCTCTTCGGCTGTTGGCCTTGGCTGTGGCCCAATGGGCAGTGCCGTGGCATTTGCCACCGCCTGTGATTCCTGCGAGTAAATCGAAAAGTTTGGACAGTTGTCGGCATCATCATCATCGTCGTCCATCTTTCTGCCGCTCTGCGTCCTTGTCGTCATCGCTGCTGCTGCTGCTGCTTGTGGCCGCTGCTGAGCATAGTCCGTGCTCAGCTTGAAGAGGGGACTGTTCCACGAGAGGCTGGCCGGTGGTGTGGGTGGCGGTGGTACAGTCAGCACTGCGGGCATTGAAAGACGAGCCACCGCAGGACCAGCCCCTGGACCAGGACCAGGCATCACCGGTGCTGGTATATGACTCAGGGGAAACATTGGAGGTCTTTGTGAATAGTTATTGGTTGCTGGGGATGACACGACGGCGGGATTGTTGGGCCCACTGCCGCGAAACGGTGAGGAGTTCGTCCCGGGTCCCTGCTGCTGTTGCTGTATGTGTTGGTTCCGTTGCTGCTGCTGTTGCTGCTGGCGATTGGGCGTGTTAAAGCGCAGGTGAAACGGCGTAAAGCTGGAGACGTTGTTGTTGCCGCTCGGATTATTATTGTTGAAATTCTGATTGAATCCGCTGCCGCCTTGCCCGCCGGCGCCACCACCACCGTCACCGCCCGTAGAGTGCCGCTGATATTGATTGCCACCTCCACCGCCACCGCCTCTGTTGTAGTTGCTGTTGCCGCCATAGCGATTGCCGGAGCCACCGCCACCGCCGCCACGACTAAAGTTGGGTCCGGCGCCGCCGCGCTGATAGAGCGGTGCCTGAGTGATGGGTTCCGCGGGTGGCTTGGAGGCTGCTGCAGTGGGGGCTGGCGCTGGCGTTGGGACTGCAGCTGCGGCTGCGGCTGCTGTTGCTGCCGCACGTTGTGGCAGATTCAGACTCCCGTCGGCACGGATCTGCACTTCGCTAAGGTTGCGCGATGCCCCATGCCAGCGATCCTGCAGATCCAAGATGCTGGACAGAATATCGCTGGCCGATGACGCTGACGTTGTGGCCGCTGTACGCGCCTTGCCCTGTAGCAGGGCCTTGCGCGTGCGAGGATTGCCGACGCTGGCAATGCGCACCGACGTCTGCACTGCTGTGGCGCCCAATCCAGCGCCTGCTCCTCCCGCATCGTCCTGGCCGCCTTCACTGTCCGAAAAGTACTCCAGATCGTTGGCATTACCAAATAGAGTGAAGCTGGTGGCATTTCCGCCGCTCAGATACGAACGCAGGCCATCCGCCTTGACGCCCAGCTGCTCCGCCAGCCTTTTGCTGGCAGTCAGACGACGGCGGCCCGTTTCATCGCTGGCGGACGAGGCAACCACGCGACGACGTCGCCGCCGACGACGACGTATGACCTTCTTGCTGGTCGTCTTCAGGGCAAACTTCTCGTCAAAGTTGTTGAGGTCGTACTCCACGACGTAGGTGCGATGGCGTGTGCGGCGACGCCTTCGTCGCTGCGTCGTTTGTCGACGGTTTGTTGTGGTGCGCGTGGTTGTTGTCGTTGTGGTTGTGGTACGGGTGGTACGCGTACGGGTGGTGGTGGAGCCAGAGGAGGCCGCCTCCGCTGATGTGGCGGCACGGGTGCGACGCAAAACAGCAGCGCGTATGCGTTCGTTTTGGCGGGTACGGAGTATCCTTGGCTGTTGCTGAACCTCTCTCACGCGCAGACGCGTCTCGGGCAGACCCATGCCGCGAATGTCCTCGTACAGCATGTTTAGGTCCTCGGCCAGGTCGAGGTTATCATCGGAATTCTCATCGTTGGAATCAATGCATTCGTCGCAGTACCAGGAGCCCTCGGGTATCTCGCTCAGCGCCGGTTCCAGGCAGTCCATGTGGTAGCCCTGATTGCAGCTGTCGCAGAGCAACATCACATCCTCCCGCTCCGGACTGTGGCATATCTCGCAGTTGGTCACATCGGCCACAGTGGCGTCCGCGTCTTCCTCCTCCTCTAGGGCCAGTTCCGTCTTTGATTTGCTCAGATCCACGCGCACTTCGCGCACCACATTTCGATCGGCATAGTTGTCGCGCACCACGATCCTGTCGAAGGTAATCCGATCGATGGGACAGGTTTGGACATTCTTTGACCATGCCTCAATGCACGGCGCACAGAAGTTGTGCTCGCATGTCGCCGGCGTCCCAATCTCCTGCTGCCGGAAGGTAAACAAACAAATGGGACACTTTTCCAGCAGCTCGTTGCTGCTGCTGTCGGAGCTGAAGCCGGGATCCTCCGCAGTCGCGGGCCTGGGGCCGAGTCTCGTCTTGGCCTCATCGTCGTCGCTTGGTTCTTCTTCATCGGATTCTAGCTTTTTCCTCTTGCCGCTTTGGCCTCGCAATCGCTTGGGGCGTTGTTCGATCTGAAATGGTTTTGGGATTAGAATTAGCAAACCGTCAATCCAGTGTAAAATGGGCAGTAGTCTTAAAAGCAATAATGGACATGTATATAGTTGTGTACCTCGCTGCCGCTAGAGGAGCAGTCATCACTTTGGGGTCCATAGCGGTTCCTTCGATTGCGCGTGGATCTTCTTTGCACGGCATCCGAGTCGGAGTCTTGAATGGCAGGGGGACGACGCTGTCGGCGGCCGCTACGACGCGTGGCCGCCGTCGAGCAGGATGGTCTCGCGTCAAGGTCAGGATCATCGCCAGGGTTGGGGGGGTTGGCTTCGTCGGTGTCGTCAGAGTCATTGAATTCGATGCGCATAATGATGCGTCGATTCCTCTTATCCGGCGCAGAGTTTTTGCTGCAAGACGGCTGCTGTTGCTGTTGCTGCTGCTGCTGATTCATTTTAGCGCCTCCGCGACGGCTGCAATCACCGGAATCATCGGAATCAGAAGCCGAATCACGGTCAGGCATGCTGATGCAACTGCGTATGTGTATATATCAGGTTATAGATGTGTAGATGTACACTTTGAATTGTCGGTTTTGAATTACATATAGGGGATATTCGTTTCGCTGAATTTTCATCTATGTAGCTATTTCTTCGCTTCGGTTCTGTTCTGAGCTTCTTCTTTTCTTGTTTCTGCAGCTACATCATTTTCATTTTTCACCAAGGAGGGAGCCCACAAAGTTTCGAGGCCCGTCTGTAATTGCAGTCCGCAGAGGCCGAAGGGAAGGCATCAATCATTCGGTTTTTTTTCTGTTTGCCGAATAGTTAATCATACACTTGCATTTTCGTGTGCACAATCGCTTCAACTGTCTAGAATGTGGCACGGAAGAACGCCTTTTTCGGTAGAAGTCAAATATATTTCGTATATGTTTTACACGCAAATTTTCTCATACAAATTTTGTTCACACACACACTTGGATTTCAGCCATTTTTTCAGCTAGAGGTGGTAGTTCTACGCCAATATGCGCATTCGATAGTTTGCCGCTGGATGCATCGTCGGCGAAAAAAACACAACCCTACCAGACTTGCATTGCAACGGGGCAGATTTTATTTTATCAGCATAAATAAACTGGATTGGATTGAATTTTCTACAAAAGAATAGTAGTGTGGATTCTATAGGGATCCCCAGGCGTGTTGAAGAATCAAGGTTCCATTGCAAGCCCACCCGCCCGATGCATCACCATGCATCGATTTTTGTAAGGGTATTTCCCAGTCGGCACGGTACGTTCATAGAATATATAAAAATGAAATGCTGAAGAAATCTATTCAAAATAAGATCAGAAAGCTAGACAAAAATAGTTTTACTATCATTGATATTTGAAGGTCAACGACCTCTTTGAATCCTTATTGCTAGCGTCTGAATATATGTATTGGGTATTATTCTGATAATAAGATTTTCAGATTAAGATCGTTAAGCTTGAAGCCGTACCTTCGGATATTCCTCTTATTGCCTAAATAAAACCAAAGCAACAAAAAATCAATATTATTTCTTCAGGAAAGTGAATTAAATCTTCGGCAGGGCAGGGAAAATCCAATACGATATTCCACACTATCGATACTTGCAACTATCGCAATTTTGAACATCGACTTTGCGAAATACTTATTTTTTTTGTTTGCAAAATGCAGCCGGAATATGCCGACGATATACATTTGGAGGCCATTGAGGTGATTCTGAATCACATTCTGTACGTGCGCGGCATATATCCTGCACAAATCTTCAAGAAGCGACGCATCTACAACACACCGGTCTACGTATCGATCTACCCGCCGCTGAATACATACCTTGCCGGCGTTCTGCGATCAACGCGAGAGCTACTTGGCCGGCGAGAGCTAAAGTGCTTTGAAATCATGCTGTATCACAGCGAAAACCAGCCAATTGAGAGTTATATGCTGCAGATAGATCAATTGGAGTCTGGGGCCGCCAGGCAGCCAGCGGAGGATCCGCACCTGATTGAGTACGAGCAACAGCTGCGCGCCGCACTGTACAAACTGTCTGAACGCGTCAAACCGTTGCCAAAGCTTCCCGGCAACAGCCAGTTCAAGGTGCATTTGCACACAACACAGACGGCCTTTGTCCGATTTAGCCACGAAGCACAGTACCAGGAGTTTCCCTGGCTGCAGGCGGCTGAGACTCCACAGCAGATGGACGGGCGATCGGCAAGAGTCTGCCTGCTGCCGCTGGCCACAGTCGACAATGTGGGATTGAAAATGCAGGCGCGCATCTTTGGTTGAGATGATTGTTATTTCCGGTTGATAATTGTTTGTATTAAATCAAAATGTTACATTGAATCAGTGTGTATAAACTACATACATTCTAGAGCAGTCCTTGACGCTTCAAGTCCTCAAATGTCTTGCGATTCACCACATTGCCCAGAGAGTCCTCGTACTCCTCCTCCTGGTCGGCTATCCAGCGCTCGCTCTGCTTTTGCGACTTTAGCTTCTCCCACAACGTGATGGCGTCCTCGATCTGGGTCACATTCGCAAAATGCGCCGTATTGGGTATACCCAGACACCGCATGCCGTGCGCATGTCGCCATTCGGCAAAGTGCCGCTGAAATGCCTTCGGTCCTTTGTAGGTAAAGTTGCCGCAGATCTCGCAGTTGTAGCTTATGTTCAGGCCATGCAGCTTGTACAGCCAGTAGGGGATGGGCTTGCCGTCCCAGCCCAGAGGCAAATTTTTGGGATTGTACGGCACGTCATCGGCATCGGGATCATCGTCGTTGTCCGACTCGCTGGCCTCCACATCGCTGTCATCGCGCTCGCCACCTGTGCGCGCCTGCTTTCGCTGGACATTCTCCTTGGTCGCCGCCCGCTGCTCGGACAGCAACTCGGCGTATTTATAGAGCAGCGCCTCCAGTTGGGCGATATCTTTGCTGCGTTCGTGTTCCTTCGACTGTGCACTGGCACTTTTGGCGTTTGGCTTCTTGGCCATCAGAGCGGGATCGAGCGTGCTTTTGCCCTTTGTGGAAAACAAGCGCTGGGCACGCTCCTCCAGAGTGCCACCACACTTTAGTCCCAGGGCCACTAGCGCGGACTTCAGACGATCCAGACCCAGGGAGGCCAACTCCTCCCAGCTCGAGAACGCCGAGAGATCCAGATGGGCGCCCGTATTGGCCAGCGCTGACTCGGTCTCCTTTAACGACCAGCCCGGAAAGGTTCCCTGCAGCCACTGACGCTGGAAATCGAGCTCCACTTTGACCAGCTCGCCCTCCAGATCCAGCAGCGGCTGAATACGCAGAATGAAGTTGTGCAGGTATTCGTTCAGTGTCTCAATGTACTTGCGGTACTCGCGGTTCTTCCTGTCGCGTGGAATATCAAACACATGATCGAAGGACATTAAATACGCAATGTAGTCCAGCTTTTCGACTGCCCGCAAGTTCAGGTAGAGCTCGTAGCACTCGTTAAGATCCAAATACCGGCCGCCGCCTTCCTCGTCGGTAAACTCCACAAGCGCACTCATATCATCCGGATTGTTGTAGACCTTGATCATGTCGTCAAACTCCACGGACAGCGGCACACTCACTTCGGCCGGATGCGATTTGTAAAACAGCTTGATCTGCTTCAGTCGGGCATAGAACTCGTTGAATTCGTTGGGCCCCGACAGGGCCGCAATCTCCTGCTTCCTCTCATTGTCCTTGTCCTCGTACAGGTCGCGCAGTTGTGTGCTGGCATTATGATGCAGTTCCATCAGATATTTAAGCCTGTGCTCCGAATGAATGCGCTCCTTTTCACCCGGCTTTTTTGTTGCGTGCTCGTCCACCATCAACTTGACGAGCCGCTCGCGTTCCTCATGGTATCGGCGCTGCTGCTCCAGGAGCGTCTCCATTGCACTTGAATCGTAGGTATTAAGTAGACGTGTTCAGGTTGAATTATCGTTTATTCCCAGAAGAAAAAACAAATTTTCATTTATTTCGCGTGTGTGTACAGGCAGTAGAGATGGTATATATTGATCTATCAATATATCGATAAATATATTTTGGCTTTAAAAATATCGGTACTCATATTGTCATTCACTTGTTTACGTCTGGCCTATACACAAGAGATACAAATTCATAAAAGTAATTCCGTTGATGATAAATCATAAAAATATCCACATAAACATAGCACATAAGAATATATGATCAAACGACAAGGTATATCGATGTATTGACATAACGATATATATTGAACATCCATACTTGCAAGTAAAGGGTCACACTGCAAAATCATATGATCGATTTGCAGTGAAAATTTTTCAGACAGACGTCGGGCAGAAGGCAAAAAAGTAACTTATCGTTTTCCACATTTCCTCGTATTGTCTGAAGTTGAGCCTTAAACATTTGACGGAACATATAAATTTAATTGAAATTAAAACTATTACAGGCACGGTTACACGTGGATTTCTTTGGAACAGTTGAATTTCTTTTCGGTTTTGTGCAAGTGAAAAAAATCAGTCAAGATGGCATTGAGCGACGCTGATGTACAGAAACAGGTAAATAGGCGATGAAAATGATTAAAATTACTATTATAAGGTAAAGGCACTCAATGTGGTCCTGTGTATGGGCTGCGGTTTAATTTAAAATTGTGTTTTTAATATGCAATCAAGCAAAAAGATGGCGAAGTCATGGGATCCAAAGAGGTTTGAAGTCATGTGAATTTCTCATGGCAGCACATTCCTATTGGCCATAGTCGTGCCCACCTTGTTGGTTATCACTCTTACATGCCATCTTATAATGTAAATGAAACCTTATGTGTAGTAGAAATGATGGTTATTTATTAAAATACTCTACGCAAAAAAGTGAGTAAAAAAATTCGTGTTGGTCATGTGACACGGGCTCCACCATTGAGTACAATGTGTTGAAGCGAGACAACTAGTGGGTGTTTGCGATGCTGCCCCTCCACACTCTCTGTCACACGACCAGCCAACCCCCCCCTCCCAACCACCCCCTTACGTTATCAGCCGAAAAAACGAAAACTTTCAAGAAAAATTAAATAAATAAATGGGGGAATAGCTGAAATTTTAAATAAACGTTAACGTAATGGCTTTTGATTCCAATATAATTCCTATCAATGCAATTTCCAGATCAAACACATGATGGCGTTCATTGAGCAGGAGGCCAATGAAAAAGCCGAGGAGATCGATGCCAAAGCCGAGGAGGAGTTCAACATTGAGAAGGGACGCCTCGTCCAGCAGCAGCGTCTCAAGATCATGGAGTACTACGAGAAGAAGGAGAAACAGGTTGAACTCCAGAAGAAAATCCAGTCATCCAACATGCTCAACCAGGCTCGCTTGAAGGTGTGTGTGTGCCCCCCGCGTCCCGTTGAATAGATTCCATAAAAACCCAACTCTGTGTGTTGTTTAGGTACTGAAAGTGCGCGAGGATCATGTGAGCAATGTCCTGGATGATGCCCGCAAACGTCTGGGCGAGGTCACCAAGAGCGACGGCGAATACAAGGCCGTCGTGACCAAGCTGATTGTCCAGGGCCTCTTCCAGGTGATGGAGCCCAAGGTGACACTGCGTTGCCGCCAGGTCGATGTGTCGCTGGTCCGCGACATTCTGCCCCAAGCTGTGGAACAGTACAAGGCCCAAATGAAGCAGAGTGTCGATATCACCATTGACGAGATAAACTTCCTCGCTGCTGATACCTGCGGTGGTGTAGAGCTGTTGGCCCTCAACGGACGCATTAAGGTGCGCTCTCTCCCCAATTAACTTTAAAATCGTATTTGTCTTCAATTCGAAGTGATTTTTTTTGTTTGCAGGTGCCCAACACGCTGGAGTCCAGATTAGAGTTGATTTCCCAGCAGCTTGTGCCAGAGATCCGTAACGCCCTGTTCGGCCGCAATGTCAACCGCAAATTCACCGATTAAATTGTTAAGTGCATGCAGATGATGATGAAGAAGAAAACCAACCAATAATACCAGCAGGAAAAGTTCAAGTTTCAAGTAACTTCACTCCACCCACAACATAATGAAACAAAATTCAACGTAAAACTCATCCTCATGGCAGGCCATGGCCAGGTCTGGTCTGGTGTCTATGTAGGGACTTGTATTCAATTATAAATTATATTGCCGTTGTTCTTGTATAGTTCTGATTGATACTGAAACTACTACACACTCAAGAACCCCCTCCGTTTCGGTCTTCAGTTATATATGGGATATTCACACACCCACAACATTTACATACATAAATGTATGCCAATAATTACATACACATATTAGGCATACACAAAATCCTATCAGCATACGGAAACAAAAAATAGCATTGTAATACGAGTTTGTTAAAGTTTGTTCGTTTATTTTTTACCTAAATGTATATTTGCTGAACACAGGCGCATACAATTTTGAACATTTTTTTGCATACATTCCTGCCCTTTGATTTACATGTGTGTTTCAACCCTCGTCCCGTTCTTTGAGTTATTTACTATATTATTGTACATTAATTTCTGTCGTCTATAGTCATTGTTGAACATTTATCTATACATATGTGTCTATGTTTGTAATTATTCATATGCAGCAGTGTGTCGAGCAGTAGCAGCAGCAGCAGCAGCAGCCACAGGTGCCACTGGCAGTCTGTGCAAACGTACACTCAGCATTGTTGCCTGCCGGAACACCGAAATGGATCGGAGATCGGTCTGATTTCGCTGAACCGAAGGTGACGTACGCTTGCGCAACTGCCACTGGCACAGGAAACACACAAAATATCATCTTCAATCCTCATAAAATGTCTGTTGTTGGACGCGTAACGAATACACAGTTACCAAAAGCAAGAACGCACGCATAAACGCATCCGAGAACCCAACCGAAACACACGAAATGAAGTATTGCCAAGTACGGCCCATAAGTAGCTAAATTTGTTGACCCTCAAATCCAGCTTCCACTCTACATAAACCATATATATACATATACTTAACTAAAGGATAACTAAACAAAAAAATATATAAACAAGAAAAAAAAATGGAAATTAGATTGAAACAATTTATGGAACTGCTGCTGCCTCGCGACCTGCCCACTGCCACTGCACTGCACACATGCATCATATCAGGCTTTCAAAATAATTTTTGAAGTTTGTATCTGAATGTTCGCCCAATGTTCGTTCATAGTGTATTCCTTCTCCAGGCTCATTTCTAACCAAGTTACACACCAATTGCAATTGTTCAAATATGATGAATAATAACTACAAATTTAGCAAACAATACAAAATACAAACAAATAGCATATGGGTTATTATATAACATCGAGTACTATATACATTAAATGAAATACGAGAAATGCAAGAAAAAATTACTTTTAAACAAAAATTTATGTTGAATAAAAACAGTATTTCCAAAAACTAAACTAAGCGAATCCAAAACTTTTTGCACTCCAGAATTGGTTATATTTTAATTGTAGGCTTGGATGATGAACGCTGCCCTATGAACGACTTTTCAATTGAATTGAAGCAGATAGGACCCTTTTTTCCTACATTTTAAATCTCTTAACTAAGAAAACGGCCCTAAATGCGTTTAAAAATTTCTGAGTCCATTCCAAGTTCGAACAAGCGTGTGACTAACCTATTGTACATGCACATGAAAAATTACTTTTATTATTATCCTTAATTGTTTGGCGTTTCGGAAATTACACGAGACGTAACATAATTGGAAATAAAAAGGTACGATCTGGATTTAAAACCGATATGTACCGTACTTTGAATATTTTTCGCGTATGATGGTCACACTTTTTCGACACCTTTATCGATAGATGGCACAATCGATTTTGCGGTGATCGTAAAACCGAACAGTGTGTGCGAAAAGTATACCTACATGTTTTCGGTGGTAAAACAAAATCAATAAGTAAAATCACTAAGCAAACAACACATAGAGGCGTCAAATCGACTAAAAACTGCCTGCATAAAATTTTTGGACGATTGGCTCCCAGGCCTTCGGTCGGGAGCCGATAGCTTCGCCAGGGCACTCGGCTCTCTCCGGCTTGAGCCGAGAGAGACCGCCTTTGCAGCTGTGTCGAATATAAACCGTGTGCGTGTGTAACTATGCCTGTATTTGTGTCCTCTAACAACTTTAAAACCAAACTCGACCTATTCAGGGTCGGATCAACCCTCAACCGGGCCCTGGGCAACCATCAATTTGGGGGTCCTCCTTTATTTTGTATTTTTCTCAGTGGCTATTATATTTTTTATTCATTATTTGGAGTTTTGTTTTTTCAACAAAATTTTTCTGTTATCCGTAGGGGGCCCTAGGCAACTGCTAATCCGGCCCTGGACCTATTCCCGTCGTCAGACTTCATATTTTGTTGATGTATTCTGTCACTCGACTCGACACGGGCAGAGGTATTTACGAAGGCCAAAAATTGTAGAACCCACATACAAGCACAGTATGTGAGAATACATGACACACACACATTTACGTAACCTGAAAACTCAAAACAAAGACGGTTTCGGAAAATAAGAATTGATAAATATTTTGTCGTGTCTGAGTACACACATGCATTTGCAATGCTCGTCTAGCTTTCGTATCCCGTCATGAGTCAGAGAACACGCATACAGGTATAGCTACACACGCACACGGTTTATATTCGACACAGCTGCAAAGGCGGTCTCTCTCGGCTCAAGCCGGAGAGAGCCGAGTGCCCTGGCGAAGCTATCGGCTCCCGACCGAAGGCCTGGGAGCCAATCGTCCAAAAATTTTATGCAGGCAGTTTTTAGTCGATTTGACGCCTCTATGTGTTGTTTGCTTAGTGGTAAAATTCAAAAAGTATGAACAGGAAAATTCTTTTGCATGCAATGCATTACGACCCTACCCAACAAAAAAACATTTTCGAATCCGTTACATTTGTATTTCATTTATTTGTTGTATACATATATGTACTTTTTCATGCAATTCAAATATTCGTAATTCCATACGCTTTGTTCACATAATAATTTGCGTTGAAACTGGTGGTGGTGGGCCTTGCATGCAAGTCAATATTTAATCATCTTTCCAAATCTTTATTTCGAAGATAACCTTGTCAAATTCCATACTGGCTTGGCGCCGAGCTCTTGAGGGTGAATATTAATTACTTTTTTCTTTTCATTTTAATATATGCATATGTGCCGGGGGTAGATTTTTAAATAAATAATTGCGAACATACAAACGGGCCTGAAGCCCATTTTAGAACATGGGGCATATATACTCGTATGCTCCATTTTACATATCTGTGTTTTAGACTCTCCAATGTGATGGATTACACCGCGTGCAATTCTTTCTGATTTCTTGTTCGAGATGCCTATTCTGTGTTGGTATGTGTGTGTGTTGTGTGTGTGGCGATATTTGTTTTTTGGTAATTGTAAATCTGTAAACCTTTATTAACACTTTTTCCATCCGTTTGCTGTTGTATAGTTAAGAAATATATTGCATTCACAAATCGGGAACTAATTGAGGATTGAGGGGGTGGGGTGTACATTAATTTAGAAGTTCTCTCTCTCTTCGCCATTGCCTTTAGGTAGATACTGGCATCTATGCATATCTATGGAGTTGTATGTCTGTGTGTGTGGATAGTTTGGATATGGGAGGGGCGGCTCCGTTTGTGTTGTTCCTTTTAGCCATGCTCTTTTTTGTTAACCATAAAATTGTTAATCGCCATTCTTTTGTTCGTCCTCAGATTCGGATTCTAGAAAAAATAGCAGAAGTAAATGCAAAAAGTTAATTACCGTTTTAAAAAGATCTCTTAAAAAGATTTATATATTAATTTATATATTAGGTGGGGCTGTCCAAACGATTATTGGCCAAATGTAACTATGAAAAGTTATATGGACACCCAATCATTCATTTGCTTTGGCATGACCGAAATTAACCTCTTGGAATTGTGCACACTGGAATTTGTGGCACTCCAAGATCTTGGTTAGAGACATGCCATGGAATATCATTATTGTGTCTGGGGGAGGCGAAATTATGCCGCTTCGGTGTAAGGTCTAAGGTCAAACAGAGAGACGACAGTAAAAGCCCAATCCTCATGGCTACAACAAACGTTGAAGATTTTCGGAGAGGTATTATGTACTGAAAAACTAAACAAAAATTAAATTGTCTGTCCAAACGATTATTGGCCAAATGTAACTATGAATAGTTATATGGACACCCAATCATTCATTTGCTTTGGCATGACTACAACATTAACCTCTTGGAATTGTGCACACTGGAATTTGTGGCACTCCAAGATTTTGGCTAGAGGCATGCGGCATAAAATACTACAATTTTGTCCAGGTTTTCATTGGCCTGCGTTGCTCTGGTTTTATTGTGGAGCAACGAGGCAAGCAAAAAACCCAAATGCTTTTGCAATTTTGTACAACGAAAGTGCCATCCAAGACAAGACCATTCTCAAAAATTGCACTCATATTAAATTAACCCCTCCACAAATGTTCATTATAAACTATATATTTACCTTCTTCGGCTGATTGCAGCCATTCGACAAACTTGCGCATTTGTTCGAGAAAATGCATTTTTCCCTTGTTGGAATGACCATCCTTGTACCAGCGCAAGATGATCTCCTCGGAAAGGACCTCTGTTTTGTAGAACAACAATATGATCTTCTGGAAGGCCTTCATAAAGTTCATGTTCTCATAGCAGAACTCCTGCACCTTCAGGATCAGGGCCAATTCCGAGCGGTCTGTTGAGGCGAATGCCTGCAACAAAGTGCAGTACGTCTTCAAGTGACGAACAGCCTGATCGGTGACCAGCTCCTCCTTCTTGTTCCATTCGCCCAACGACATGATGGTAGACCAAATCTGTACATCAAAACAAAAAAAAAATCATTCAATTAAACTCTGTCTCTCTCGTCGAATCAATCGTTCGATTAACTTACAATAACAATTATCTCATGATCGGGAATGTTGTTGCGTGCCGAAAACTCTTTAATGTCAGCGGTTATCTCATTGTGTGCCTTCTCATCGTTGATATCATCGATGAGGGTCTGCTGCAGCTCACGCTTGGCCTCCTGGCTAGCCTGGGCCTTGTGCAGCTTGACGATCTCATTGAGTTCCTTGTCAAGAAAAACTTGTTTAAAATATTCCTCAGTACGTTTGTTTGGTGGGAAAAAGTCCATAAGTCTTAGGAGAGAAACAATAACGAAATATACCCATTAATAAACATTCTAGCCAAATTATATTCTATTTTTTTATCTATATTATAAATTTGTACGAAATTAAATCGACACCCAAATGAAGCCAAATGTCCATTTGCGAATTAAATAAAACTCCACGAAATTTACTCTAGGAACATCAATTAAAGATACACAACTGAATGGTTATAACATCTTCCTGAGAACATTCCATATTTGGATTTCGAAGTCATTATAGTATATCGAATAGTAATCTAATAAACTTGCATAATTGTACGAAATTAAATCGACACCCAAATGAAGCCAAAAGTTCATTTGCGAATTAAATAAAACTCCACGAAATTTACTCTAGGAACATCAATTAAAGATGCACAACTGAATCGTTATAACATCTTCCTGAGAACATTCCATAAAAACAATAATATAAATGAAAAACTTACTTGCTTTCCAGTCCACCCTTCTTAAGCGCCTGAATCAGATATGCAATGCCCTTCTCTTGCTTGAACGTCTGAAATAGCTCCAGTAGAAACTCCAGTGCAATGCCATCCTTGATCAGATGCTCGTTGTTTAGTACCAATAACACATTTGGCGGTACAGAGCCATTAACTAAGAACATGACAAAGTTATAGAAAAATATTAGGTTCGTCTTATGATATGGAACGAATGTTAGGAAAGAATTCTTCTTGTCCTTGGGCTCGTGGCTCTTGGATTTGGTTAAGTTTGCATCCAAGAGTCAGTATACCAAGAGTAACTTTTACTTTAGCCCAATCTCAGCTGCAAGTCGAACAAGGGTCTATCTAGACTCGACTATATAAACGCTGGCTGGGCTTTAAGGCGAAAGTTGAAGTGTTTTCTGAAGACTTACCTAACCAGAGCGCAGTCATTCGCGCAAGCTTGATGCGTTCACTTGGAGTAAAGCCCTTTACGAATAATAGAACTTTACCCATCTCCTCTTCGAACATTTTCTCAAGGTACTTGTACCGTCTGATGAGCTTAACAAATACCTGAAATCGTAGAAAATTTTCAATTACTGAAAGTTCCTTACATTTACACGAATTTGTTCAACTCTTTTTAGTTTTGTTGCAACAAAAGAAATCTTTAGGTTGTTGGTTTTATTTTCTACACAAAATAAAGACAAGTAAAATGTTGCTTTTCATGTTGCATATTTTGACACCGATTGCATCGTATAGATGAGATAACCGGTTCTAATAATATGCAATTGAAAAAAGGTGACCTTCCAGGTGTTGTGTGTACTGTATATAATATATACTATTGCAGCTGTAGAAGCTGTTGTTGACACATAAGAAATCTTCGGATCGTTAGGTTGTTTACAACAAACCAAAGACAAGTAAATATGTGACGTTTCATGTGGCATAATCTGACACCGACTACATTTTTGAGCTTGTAATCAGTTCTAATTATATGCACACACACACACACTGGGATCGGATCGAATCGGTTCGGATATATGATATATAAAGTTTAAACAAACCTGCTCATGGTTGCGCATGGATTCCATGCTCTCGGGGGCATCAAAGATGCAGTAATTTGTGCGCGGCTTTTCGCCATCCTGAGAAATGGAACCACCAGGCACTGAAACATAGATTATTACAAATGTTATCGCTTATAATATGGGAATGGCAGTAGTTATCTGGGACTTACCTAATAGACCACCCGCAATCAATATATCAAAGAGAACTTCACCGTAGCGACGATAGTCGAGCTTGTTGCCCGCGATGTCTAGATATTTAGAGATTTGCTCCAAGTCGCCATCAGTTTTTTCGAGACCAGCAATGACCGCATCACGGAATCCCGTTGGGTCATATTTTTCTCTTTCATCTCTTTTTCTGGTCTTGATGCGTTGACCCGATAGCACTGGTCTTTCTATTTTTTGACTCATACAATAAATTGCTGCAGATAGATCAGATGTGTAAACGTTTCACAATTAATTTAGTGATTATATCAGTTAAATGTTCAACTATAAACTGAGCAAGGTCACAAGATCGATTCACAAGTACAAACTAGCTTTCCAATTGCTGGTCGGCCGTTATTGTTGTTTTAAATGTTGCGAGAGTTTGAAATGCTGTTTAACCTAAAAATCCTCGCCTGCCGAGTATACATGTGCTTTTCGTCACTCACACACACAAACACCAGAGCACAGAGGGAGGGAGAAAGAGAGAGCGAGCACACACACACACGGCCATACAATCTTTTTACAGTTTGATAATGTCGAAAGAAGAACATGGAAGAAGCGAGGCGAGCAGAAGAAGAACAACTGAAAGGCGAGATGAAGAACGAGGGAAAAAGGCGAGAAGTACAGAAAACCAATAAGAGAAGAGCCACTGAAAAAGCGGAGAAAAGAAAGAAGAAAAAATGCAAAAGCAAGGCAAGCGAACAAACCCGCCTATAAACGAAATTCGACAAAGAAACTGTCGAGAATAAAGTGAAATTTTTGACGTGTTACTGGAGGAGCAGCTCGGGCAGAGCTCGGAGCAAGGGAAACGAGGTCATTGTACATACAAAACACACTCGTACCTTTGTGCTACTGTGTGCGTGTGTTCCCGTTGGTTGGCGAGGCAGGGGGGGAAAATGTCAAACGCAGAAACGCAAAAAGATGGAAAATACGCAGTCGGTTCCAAGTACACACACACAAACATTCAATTAGCGAATACATAGATGGAGAAAAATTTAACAAAGACGAACTTTAACTTACACTTTCGCTTAACGGAAATAAGTTTGGCCTTTTAGCCGCTTCCGCGTGTCCTCGTCAGTTATTGAAGGTGGAGAGGGGGCTGATTTGTGTGATTCAAGGGAGAATTTTATTGAGTATGTGTGTGTGCGTGTGTGCCTGTTGCTTTTCACAATTTAAAGAGAGAGCTACTGCGGTGTAAAATGTGCAATTTAATTTAACCTCGCACAGCGTTTGCAAATGCACTCGCACACGTAAAACACAGACGGACACAGATCAAGGCAGATGTAGAATATAATAATTCGTTTTCGCCGACTACGGTCTTTGGTAGCTTACGAGCTTTTTGCACTGTAAAACTGACACGCACGCACACACACACCCACACAGTGTCGACAAAGGCAGAAGAGAGAGAGAGAGAAAACGACAGAATATTTTACAACGGAATTTACGGTTACAATTTTGTGAATGTGAATTTCAGACTTTGTCCGGAATTCTATTTTTAACAACTATCACAATCGGTTACTAAGTATTATGTTTGTTTCAAGTTCTCAACGCCCCCGGTCCTGGCCTGCGCGCACCACTTTGTTAAATGAAATTCAGAAAGCGAATGACACACACGAATCGTGCCGAACCGTTCGACGAGAGACGATAACGAAGAGACATGTGGTTCGGCGCCATTTTGAAGCGACACTTTGTCATACTACACGACTAGAGGGAGGGTAGGGGACGGCAAGGGGCCAGAGTATGCATATTTCTGTGGCTTTTTATTAAATAATGTACATGTATATGCAGGGGTACAGTCGAACAAAGGCCTAACAACTGCCCCTAAATGGTTTATTGCGTGAACGGCTGCTGCTGACTAATTGATGAGTAAACCTCGTTTATACATTAGTATGTATGTATGATACATACCAATTCGTACATAACCTTTTTCTTCGACAAAGAAAAAGTGACATGGCCGTCAATTGCGACATGGAAAATCTATTTCTCTCACTGCTGCACGTCTGAGCTTAAGAATAGGTATATATTTGACTTGGTACTTACGATTAAAACAAAAAAATCTGTTTTGCTGGGAATAAAGTAACTTTTGTGTAGCTTTTTGAGCTGTTTTTTTCGTCGAAAAAATCTGTCGACTGCACCTCACGAATTTTTTTTTAGAAAGCAGTGTGACCGCGGACTGTTTGACAAAATATACCGTCTGAGCCTCGGACATATACCGAAATATACATTCCCAGTTTTAAAATGTACCGTAAATATACTGTGAAAAAGCATATATGTTGATATTCGGTATAATATTACTAGCTAACTGCGGCCCTTACCGCTAAATATATAATTTTATCCGATTGATGAATAAATATTCCACAATTTAGCTTATTTTAAGGACCCTCTTTGATCGGATTGCTTATAAAATAAGGCTTAAGCATATATGGTCAGCTAAATCGAACTTTAAAAATAGCCAATTGGCTATAAAATAGCTTAATTGGCAACACTGGGTTCGACCAAGACAGGCGGCCTAGTGTGACCAGCTCTACAAATAGTCTGGCGCTGTGGTGGTTTGTTTTTGATAAAATGATTGCGGAAAAGATATCAGATTTGCTCGATTTTAACGTTCCTGAATTTAAATATGAGCAGTTCCGCGATGTTCTTTTGCGGATGCGAGGGCTTCGGCGCTACAGCTTCTGCGTGGATGCCCAGTCCGACTCAGATGTGGACAAGGTAGGTATTTGGAGCCCAAAAGATTTCCAAGATTTAATCAACATTTTGTCCATAAATCAAGTTCCGGGAGGCAATTATGAGACTACTGGATGGCTACCTGACTCTGGAGGAAGTGACCTCGCTATACACGGTGTCCGTTCTGATGTTCCTGCTGGTGGAAAAGGAGCGACCACGCCAGTGCAATGAACGCCTGGAGCTGCTCAATGCCAGCTTCAATTATTCCGACACACTGAAGCCAACAATGGTCCACTATGCCACTGTTTCCATGCTGGAATGCCTTAAGCTGACACCATGCAAAGAAGAGCACGGTTACATCTACATGCTGGAGGCGATGCCACATATCCTGGTGGCCTGCGACACAGGCAAGATGATCGCCCTCGGATTGCTGCGAGCCTTCATAGGCGCCCTGTCCAACACCTCCTTGGTCCTGCACATTTATCGTAACGTTAGTCGATTGAAACGACGGCCAACGCTTGTCTAACTGCCTTATTTTTGCAGCTGTGGGAGGTCTATAACATGGTTAAATCAATCAGCCAAGACACAATCCTAGCGGATTGGTCACTGTGTAGGACGTACATCCTAGTCAAATCCTTTGCTCTACTCATGAGCTCGACGGCCTTCAACTCGCGTAATCTGGGGCTGAGGCAGGCGGGCTACCAGGGATTTGAAATGCCGCCCATAGCCACAGAAATCTCGGAATGGTTTACGGCGTTGCGCGACAAGATCGAGGAGAAGCACACAAATCTCTCAAGTAAATTGGGTTTTAAGGTACGTATGTAGCGGAAGTAACACAGAGATCTATATGTCATATCTGTCCTCCACAGCTGGTGCGTTTTATAGACCAAAATATATTGAGATATTTGACTGAAGAGAACAACGAATCTACCTCGGAGGTGGGCATTGAGACAGTTGCGTAGTGTATGTGTAATTATAGTTTATTTGTTATCAATTAGTACATAAAGCATAAGCTATAGATTCGATTCATGATTGTTGTGGACATCATTTGAACTTCTTGGCAGTCTTTCGCGATGGTGCATCCACAGGCACCACAGCAGTGGAATAATACTTGCTGGAGATTCGATTGAGAAAGTACAAACCCACCAGGGAGAACAGAATACTAAAAGAGTAATCAACATTAACCATATGCGTGAGGAAGGCGTCTCGTCTACTACTACTTACCTTGTTGTGGCACACACACGATGAACAATGCCCGCAGCGGCCACCGTGAGGGACAGGCAGAAAAGTATCTCCGGCACTAACTTGGCCTGAAAGTCTGGTCCGAATACCAGCATTTCGGCATTCGATACGCAGGTGAGGCTCAAGATGAAGAGCCAGGAGAAGAGGTAGCCGCCCACCAAGACATTCAATTGTGAGCCATTGAACCAGTCGGCGCAGAAACGGAGCGTGGCAAAGAGAACCAGGCTCAGTATGCCAGAGATGATTGACGAGAGAAGCGTGTTCTTGCTACTAGTTGAGGCAGCTGGAATGTTTATGTTATCTTTAATAAAGTATAGTCGCCTCAATTTAAGTCCTGCTTACACATATTTTTTTTTTTTCATTCGGTCGTACCGGCGCGGCGTCTTTGTTGTACGTGGTATTTTCTGCGTATCTGGTATTTTTTTCGCGGGTGTGGAAACTCCCTGTCCGGCTTTTGGTATTTTCTCCCAAGTGAATGTATTATGGTGTGGGATATACTGTGGTCTATTTTGTAAATACGAATATCTGCAAAGAAATTTTGTTAATAAAAACTCGCTGAAACATGGCCTCCCTGCTGAAAGTCGCTACCAGCACGCTCCGAAGCACATTATGGCAGACACGGAGCGTGGCCACCACCACGCCGCAGCTGATAAAACAGAGTAAGTTGGTTTTTGGCCGTTCCGTTCGGTTGTTTCATAACCTCTCACCGATATTCTTTGCAGTTCAAGAGAAACAGGAAAACAATGTGAGGACCTATGAGGGCGTCAATATAGACTCTGAGCGTTCCGAGAAATTGCTGAAATCCGCCTGCCAGACCACCTTCTGTCCGGAATGCACGCTGGGCCTGGATGTCAAGCACACCGACGTGCTAATCCTGTCGCAGTACGTCCGATCCGACGGCTGCATGCTGCCCAGACGCATCACCGGCCTGTGCTATCGCCAGCAGAAGAAAATGGGCACCCTGGTGACGATGGCTCAGAAGGCGGGCCTGATGCCGAACCTGGGCCCGTCGTGGAGCAAAAAGGATCCGAAAAAGCGCTACGGCTGGAAGAAATTTAACAAATATTTCCTCGAGTCAACAATTAAATACTAAAACTAGTGATAATGGCAATAAATGTGTTGATATGTTAATACTAGTTTCGAACTATGCTTTTATTTTTGCTCCGCTGCTTTTTTTGACTTTTCGAGAACGGTCACTTTTCTGTGGCGTCTCCTTGTCAATAAAACTTTTTTTATTTGCCGCAATATTTAAAAATTTCAAGATGAGCAGCAGCGCAATGCACGTTGAAGTTCGGCTGCACAGCAACGACCAGTAAGTACTGCACCTGTTGCATATAGCTTCTGCAGTTTAAATGATTTCACCTTTATTTTAATAGACCAATACCGGCACTGCGATCTGTATTGAAGCCGGCTGTGAACGCGTTCTTGCTATCAAATAAAAACCTGCCCCAGAATGTGGCCTTCAAGCCGGACTTGTCTCAGACGGACCCCTCGTTGGTGGCGAGTGTTCTCCTGGAGCGCGACTGCGGCGGCAGGCCAGATATCGAGGGGCAGACGAGGTCGTTCTGTTTTCATTTCTACAAGCCGTATGCAGCTGCGGCAACCGCAGGCTCTGGCCTCTTCGACGGCACCGTCGATGCTGATGGCGGGGCTGTCGTAGATGCTAATCACGTCTTACTGCCATCCAAACAGTTTGTGGGCTTGTGGGAGTCCTTGGTTTTCGAGAAAGGACTTAAGGAGAGGGTAAGTTCTACACCCGTTTAGAAATGGTTAGAGTTTATTCATCTTTGTGGTGTTTGCAGCTGCTGAAGTACGCCTTGTCTGCGTTGACCTTCTCGCAGCACTGCGTGGACACGAATGTGATTTCCTGCAATCGTCTGATACTGCTCCATGGCCCACCGGGCACTGGGAAGACGAGCCTTTGCAAGGCCCTGGCACAGAAGCTGGCCATAAGGACGCACGAGGCCTATGCCTACACACATCTGGTGGAGATAAACAGCCACAGCCTGTTCTCCAAGTGGTTCTCGGAGAGCGGTAAGCTGGTGGCCCGACTTTTTGCCAAGATCGGGGAGCTGGTGGCGGACCGTAACAATTTGGTTTGTCTGCTCATCGATGAGGTGGAATCGCTGGCGTATGCCCGGAGTTCGATGAACAGCAACGAACCGCGCGATGCCATGCGTGTGGTCAATGCCTTGCTGACACACCTGGACGAGATCAAGGCGCGTCCCAATGTGCTCATCCTGGCCACCTCCAACCTGGCGCAGAGCATCGATCTCGCCTTCCTGGATCGCGCCGATATCCGGCAATACATTGGCTATCCGGCCGTGCCTGCCATCAGATCGATTTACAAGAGCATGCTGCTCGAGCTCATGTCCGCGGGCATTGTGGAGTGCGAAGCCCTCGAGACTGAGGACATTGAGGAGGGACTCCTCACAAATCTTTCCGAGCGCAGCGTTGGTCTCAGCGGTCGCACCCTGCGAAAGCTGCCCCTGCTGGCCCACGCCCAGTACACCGCCAGTGAACTGTTCGAGGAGCATGGAAAGATATTCCTGTCCAACTTTCTGGATGCATTGCTGCTGGCCCTGGAGCAGAATCTGCGCGAGCACCATCTCTTGAAATTGGAGTCTACGGAATAGTCAGACCCAAGTCAACAGCAAAGCAAACCAATTTCTCTTAAGAGAACGAAAGAAAAAAAAGAATATCCCCACTTTATCTCCATCAAATGCGAAACTCTGTTAACTTCAATTTTTTTTACAATGAAAAACAATTGAGAATCCCAGACTGAAACCAGGAACTGCTTCCGCCTCTGTCTCCTGTTTGCTGCTTCGTTTCATTTGCACACACGACACAGGGATTTTTTCCCATTTCTTTATCCAGCTTTTGATGTGAAAATCAAGCGTGAAATCTTGTTATTTCTTTGCAAGCATCCATCCACATCGGCTCATCTCCATGCAGACATCGGACCGGACTGGACTCTACGCAATCTCAGCACTCTTGCCTGAGAAGAGAGACACGCACTCGTCTGTCTGGTAAGACCTCACTCAAGTCCGGCGAACACACACTCACACACTGGACTGGACATGGGATAGACAAGGGCGGACCACCCACATCATCATCTGGGGAGTCTTGCCTGGGGATCCCCTTGCTTTTGCAAGTGCAAGTGACGACTAATCAAATTTGGTTGACAATTTGATTTTGTGTTGATGCTGCCTGTTGATCCGCATCATCCGTTTGGAAGTCGGTCCCATTCACTGCATCAGCTCTGGGCCAAATCGTTGTGGGGGGGAACCTAATGGGGCAGCATCTGCAGTACAAAGTACAAAGTAATATTACATATCACATATGCAAAGTTTGAGTGGCAGTCATTGGCAGATAGAGAGTTTGAAGTACATAATAAGAATTCTTAAGACCGATAAAATATCGATTACTGATGATGCTAATAGTCGAGTAAAAACCTTAATCATTTTCTAACGCACTCTACACCTACTTCTATCTTAAGGCCCAGATTTGTGACCTTTAATTAAATCAGAAAAAGTCTGCCAAAAACAGATTCACACAATAGAAGAATGGAAGGTTGGCAAAGGGGATAAAAGGACACCAGGACAGACGACAGGTGGTCATAAACCGAGTTCGGCAGACAGTAAAAATAGACAAATAGTGGGCGCCACGAGTTATGTGAACGAACGGATAGCTGCAGGGCCCATAAAATGTAGATGGGTGCCAGAGAATGGGGGCAAGAGTGCGATAAAATAGATTCCCCGTTGATGAAAATGTGATGCAATGACTCTCGTTCTCGTCCTCCTGCCGGGGGGCATTCATATAAAATATACAAAGTTTATTAGCCACACGGCAAGCGGGAATCAGTATCTAAATGTGGCGCATGGTGGCTACGAGAATCAGTATCTAAATGAAAGGGGGTGCTGCTTGGCAAGAACTCAACAGACGATAAGCACCGTAAATGGAGCAGCAGGTTTATGGCCTTGTCCTGGAATGATGTGGCTTTTGTTTCGACAGCTGAAGAAGAAACAAAAACAAGCATTTCTTCAGTCGGATCTGGAAATGGATCTGATGGATGTATGGATGGATGATGTGGGCAGGCGAAGCAATTAGTTAGCACAAAGATATCTCTGTTTTTCTCTTCTGGCTCATTCAAGTCTGCACAATGTTGTGGCTGGGTTCTCAGGGGAGATGAGTTTCCAGCTCATCTGGCAACGTTGGTTGTTGATTTTACATTTTATGCCCGAAGGCCTTGTTTATTTGTTGTACAGTTATCAATGAATCCCAGAATTCATCGGTCTCCATTCCCATGGCCCTGTTTCTGCCTCTCTTTTGTCTGTTCACAAGGTATAGGGAACACGAAAGGTAAGCCGCCTCAGAAAGCATCCTCATATATTTGGGTGAAGTCCAACAAAAACAAAAAATAAAACAAACAATAAATAAAACAAAAAACAATAAAATAAAATAAAAATAAAATAATAAACATTCGTTTGGGCAATAAAATGAAAATATAAGCCTCACTTCTTTAATCTGTGTGTAAGCGGCTATCTCTGCAATGCGAGCACCAAATTGCATGCTGTTTTTTTAAATGATAGCCAGAGAATGTGGCATGGTTGCACAAACAACTTTGTACTTTTCTATAAATATGTATCTTAGGAATTAAAAATTAATCAAAAAAATCTTAAATTTGGTGAAAAGGTGTCTGTTTAAATACCTATTTCATTTCATTTTGTGCCATTCAGTAGAACCGAACATTTTATGATAGATTTGGTTTTTATACCTCTTTGTATTGAAAAATGTTTTCTGAAAAAATTGCAATTTGTGTAAGTATATTTGTTGCTTTTGATTATAATTGTTTAGTTTCGATAAATTCCCAAACATTAAATGCATTTAGTAAGCAGCGAAGCGCGCGGGCCTGCTAGTACTATATGAATGTGTAACGAGGTGTGATCATGGGGAAATAAAAAAACAAGATGACCAATGCAGTAGTTCCAGGATCGGGGAAAATAGAGAGATGAAAAAAGTCTATTAATCCCATATTTAGCTAGAAAACTATGTGAACCTTTTCTAAAAATATCTATCCTTTTGTAAAACATGTCTGTGACCAGAGGCGGGAATAAAAAAGGAAGTGATAAAAGGAAGATTAAAAAAAAAAATGACAATCCTTTTGCTGAAAACTCCTACACTACGGTAGCATCTGTCCGTACGAGAGAGATTCCCCTGGCATAAATTGCGAAATAAATGTGCAATGTATTTTGTTGAGCCGGTTGCAGTCGGTCCACATACACAGGACTACATCCTCATCCTCCCCCCCTAGCAACCATTACACTCCCCGCACAATCATGCAGAAGCACAGAGAATTGAACTATTGATGGTTACGTTTATTTATGTTTTCCTTCTCTCGTTTTCTGTGTATCGGAATGGGTGGGTAGGTGGAGGGAGGGATGGAAGCCTGTAAGCAGCATTTTCCAATTGCATTTCAGCAATATGGAAAATTTTGCTTCCACAACTACAAAATGCCCATTGTTATACAGCTACTGCTATTTTCTGCTCCCTACTCCCATTGTTGCTGTTGGTGCTGGAGCATTTGTTTCATATTTATTGTTTGGATTTGTAAGCTTACCGTTTTGTGGGCGTTAAGAAATTTAAATTCTCCACACAAGCAACAATCAACATGCTTTAAGCTGCTGAAAAAGCTGAAAAATTCAATCAATTCAAATCGTTTGAATCGCTTGCACTGAAATCAATAGCTTTTCATTTGGCTGCAGCCTTAGGACTAGGGTTCTACGTACATTGGCCCTATATTGAGTGTCCCTGGATACGCATTTAATTGGCCATAAAGTTGATATTTGTTGGGCAATTCATTTGAAAATGAATGTAAAGCAAATAAGAGAGGAAAATATTTCTAAATGTTATCTCCTGTATTAAGTACTGAGAAATACCCCAAAAATGTACATTCATACATGTATGTACATACATTCATACATATTTATGTACATTCTAAGAAATTTCGATTATGTGAGACTTTTTGCTATATTTTATTTTTCTTGGAAAAGTTATTGCTATTACTCTTCTTCTAATGAACGAATATGCCTAAGTCTTTGATCCCGACGCTATCCCTCTTTTTACCTTTTATTCTGTCAGAATAGAGATCTATAGTAACGATGCGACTGTTATTTCTTTTTGTTTTTACTCTACCCATGAGGATATAAGCAGTTCATTTCACCGTAATATCCTATAGTCCAAAAAAACATCAAAGATTTACTCTTGTTTTGAAGTTCTGGCCCATAACCGCTTCATGGCTGGCAGATTCGAAGCAATTTTGATTTAATTTTAATTCCTGCGGTTTGCTGGCAGCCAGACGACGACGACGACGTTGGCGGCGCCACGCCCTAACTCTCTTTGCGGCAGCTGCAAATATTTCGCTGGAGCTCGGAAAATTGTTTAGCTATTGACCAAGGATCGTTAATTATGTATGTACAATGTACATACATATTTTAGCCAAGAACTTTTGTTGGCAGCAGTTACCGACCAAGAAAAAAAATGGCAGCCACAATGGTGGTTTCGCAGAGGAGTAGAGATTGGGCAAAATTAAATTTCAGCTGCCTTCAGAACGCAGAATTCAATATTTTTGAAAGCCATTTTCATGTCAGATTGGATTGTGTTAGGGTAAGGGATACGAGTATGTGATGATGTGAGGGAGATTCCAAATGGATTGTCAACAGACTCCTCTCACTTGTGACTCCACTACAAGTACATAAGTTTAGTATTAGACGATGCGACCCCTGCCACGACACGACCCCTCTCACAACTCTAAGTAAAGTCAAGCAAAAATGCACTACAATCGTGTTCTCAATTTCAGTTTCACTCAGATTTGTGTTAAAGTGGAATATGTATTATATGATAGGTTTACTGTCAGAAAAATGATAGAATTTGACATTATCTACATATTAGTAGATAGATAGTAGATCTCAAATAGATAGGCATTTCATTTGTATCCCATATCCCCTGCATATCAATCTTCCCGTATCATTTAAATTTCCCTAACTCCTCTTTTTTAAATGCGATTATTTCAGTGCCATAAAAGATAATGTATACGTACTAGCAATGGGAAATAGTGCTGATATTATTGTAATCAGAAATTATTTATAGTTTCCCATAGTTTAAGAGAATAGCTCCAGCGTTCTCAAAGATTATACTCACGAAAGCTAGAAATATTTCATCTAAAATTTCAATTTATACCAACTTGGAGAAACTGAAAATGAGAACAGGAAGGATATATCTAGATTCTTACACTAATACGCATATGTGCCGTTACGTTTCTCAGCGTATGTGTGTGTGTGTGGGTTATTTATGCCTGGAACGTGACTGGAAATATGAAATGCAGCAAATGTGTTTACTTAAATGAAGTGAGTGAAAATTGACAAATACATATCCATACACACGCAGATGCGCAAACATTATAGTATATACTTATACATATGTATATGAACCAATGCAAAGACGAAACTGCAGTCAAACCATGTAAGATGGGGGAGGAAAGAGTGGCGTGGGGCAGTGCAGGAGATGAGTCGCATCCGACTAGCGGAGCTTAGGGCACATGAAAAATGCGCCGAAAATGGCAATGACGCTAATCCCTTGGCCGAACGTTGCTCACACATGCTCATGCACACACACACACACGCCAATGCACATGCCCATATGTATGTATACACTGTAAAGAAATATGTCAAATTCAATAACAGACATGAAAAAAGAAAGAGCAGCTTTCGGTCGAACTTAATGATATCCTTTCTTAAGGCATAGTTTCAATGGTAGGTACATAATGGTACATAATATATTTATGTATATAAAGTTGATTAAATTATACTAAGCTACATATGCACGATTAAGTATATAGAGCTGCAATTTATAATGTTTGGATAATGATATTTATAGGATAATGTACGTCGATTTAAATAAAATCTGGCTGAGATCTAAAAAGAAAGCTTCTCGATATAACTGATATGATTAAACTTACGTCTTTTAATGTACCTTTTTCCAATCGTTAAAAATCTATAAATATAAAAAGTTGTTTCCACACTAAACATATTTTTTTTTCCTATCGATCCATTATTATATCGATTCTTATGTACAGCTGTAAAGCTGCTTAAGAATCGAAGCTGCTTTCTTTGAATGACAAACATCTGCTCAAAATCATAATATTCACCCTGCTAGGGTACAACAAAGTGACGTAGTACTTGCTCTGCTCCTTTTCTACAATCCAGAACCCAGCAGGAGAATAAAAAGGACAAGGAGAAGCAGAAGCAGTGGCAGCAGGAGCATCAGCAGCAACTGTGGCGCCAAACTCTGGACAATAGTAGCCCCCCTTCGCACTGGCCTTATAAAAATGTACGATTTTTCTTCATTTGATGAAACGAAATACAATTTCTCAACGAGCGAGTGAGGGAACGACGAAGCAGCACAGCTCAGCACAGCAGAGCAGAGCACAACGCAAAAAAGTTGGTTGCAATTGCAATTGCAATTTTCTTGCCAAATCAGCGCACGATGGCTTCGTATATTGACATTTTTAAAAGCCAATATTTCCCAGAGTTCGACTTCCATTTTGCTCCATTTTCACTGTGATATGAGAGGCAAAGGGGAACGAGTAAGAGAGAGAGAGAGGAAGAAAGACGCATGCACACAAAGTATGTCCAAAAGTTTTGGATGCACGAATTAATTTATTTGACTTTGGGCAATGTATAAATATAAATTGAATGAGTCCCGAGTACCCCCAACAGTAGAAAGTAGGGAAGTGCATGAGTTACTCTTAACGATTGTTTGGCTACTAAACTACTGAAACTGGAGAGAATGGGAAAGACTCAACTAAAATACGAGTTGTTAAAGAACTTTAAAATAACAAAAGCAAGAGTTGCGATGCATTCCCTTTGTAGCTCAGATTGTAAGCTCAAAGAAAGTTAAAATACTCTACCAATTCTAGTCGAAATTTTAGGAAATTTCAAGGAAATTTCAACGTGCCGCGACGTTAAGAGTCTCACTAGGGTAGAGCTAGCAGTGAATACTCCAAGTAAAGTAAATATAGTAAGTAAATACACCGAAATTCCTGATAGATTCCTCCTGATCAAATCCTCTGACCCATCCTCTCCTGCACTGAATTTCAATTAGCTGCAAGCTCGACATCAGACTGATGTGTGTGTGGAGGTGATGGGAAAGTAATTTCACCTTTCTCCTAGCTGTCATTTGTGTCGCTGCAATTACTTTGATTAATGGCGGCATAGCACCCAATGAGAGTAGCATGCGGTCTGGGGACTCAACCAACCCATCCCTTCAGCAGTGAGGAACTACTGGAACTGGGCCTGACAGTCCGACCAAAAAAAAAAAAACTTTTTCCAACTTTTGGCAAACGGAAAACTGCAAACGCAAATGAAATTAGTCGAAACTATTTAGAGCACATTTCCATAGGCATCAGCTACATCGGCATTCATTCGCGTTCGCATCCTCATTTTGGGTCCGCCTCCGCATCAGAGTCAAGTTCGTGACGCGTGTTATTTCTAATTAGATTAGGGCGTGACTGTGAGCCGTGCCCTAAGCAACCAGACCCCCTCCATACGCCTCCAATTCAGCGGCTGACTTTGCCGATTTGATTGCCATTTGGTTGTCGGCCGACTTCTTCGTTTTGTAGTAATTTTAATTGAAAAAATTCTTCAATTTTGCCATCCATTTGACGCCGAGCCGGCTGCCAGGACCGCCAGGACTGCTACTATCATTTCTCATCGCCGGCAGGACAGACGTAGAAATGTAATTAGCCTCAACGGACCTCCTTCCCTGTTATCTGTTTGTGTCAACTTTTCAATTAAATATTCATAAAAAAAATTGCAATTTGCCAGCCACTTCACAGTGAGAAAAAGATATTTTGCAATCACTTTCGTGTGCTGCATAAGTTCGGGCGCCCTGCCTAAAAATGCCTGTAATATGATTGATTTGCCAGCAGGGATGGAAAGGTATTGGGTAATTCCAAGACCTAAGAAGGAATAGAACCTGGGAATCTACAATGAATTTTCAGAGTTAAAAAATAATTGAAAAGAACCACAGATAAATTGATGTGCATATGTTATACATATGCTAGAAGGAACAGGCACAAAACCTCTAATGATGTGTTCCATTTTTTATAACCACTAGTTTAAACGTTGCTCTGCTCTTCGAGTGAACCAAATATCTAAAGAAACTTCGAATGATAGAGCTACTACACATGTCTGCAACTAATTCAACTAGTGAACTTTGTTTCACAGCTCCAATGAACCACAGCATCGTGTGATTCCCCGCTGCTTGTGCAGCCCTGATTCGATGGAAGCAAATTTCATGCATAGGTTGGACTGGGAAATCTTTAATTAAATTGGCCACGGCTAGGAAAAGCAATGAGCGACTGTGCAAGGTGAATCGCAGGTTGAAGCCGCGCAAGAGGTGGGGTCAGAGCAGCCGAGCAAAGAGGTGGGGTCAGAGAATCAGAGAGAGAGAGAGAGAGTAGCAAAAGGTGAGGTCAAACCCTGACAGAGAGCGACCAAAGGGCAAGGTGGAACCTGCGCTAATTTTAGAGCAGTGCCAATGCTTTGTCCTGCATTTTCCTCACTGCCCCCTGTGCTTTGTGCAAATGAAATGGCGATAATTAATCATTGCTTCTGTGGTTAAATGACCGCTCTTCGATTCCCCATCCGCGTTGCCACGTTACGTTGTCCGATTCACGCTACTCATTGCCCCTTGCAACTTGGTTTAGTTTAATTAGAAGCCACAACTCTTTGCGGCAATTGGCGTAAGTTATTGCCGAACGATGATTTGGTGGATTCCGCTGCCATGCTGGTACTCGTATTGTCACTGCCACATGCTGCTGCCTCACACTCCACACTCCCAATGAAATCTGACTGAACTACTTCACATACATTGTGCGGAGAAGGGCAAAGAATTTATACGATAATTGCAAGAGCTGAAAGAAGGGGAATTAATTCGAAGTAAAAATCTTTTGCAATCCACAACTTACATCTGAAACTGTGACCATGGATACATTGAGAAATATGGTGGCCTTTAAGCGACTTGCCTGTTGGGATCGCCTCACAATGAAAATCAGCATTTTCCGATACCGAAGATCTGCCTGGAACCAGTCGTGATTGTAGACAGCTTGGCCTATGTGCTCGCTCTGCAAATAAATGTCTGGTTAAGACTTGAACGACAGTAAATCCAACGATACCCACTCACCGCATCCAGCAGTCGCTGTGCATAGGTTGCGATCATAAACACCTGCACCATGGCACAGAACAGAAAGAGCACAAGCATCACCAGATTATCGATCTGGCCACCAATTGTCATCTGAAAGCCCACAAAGCAGATGATAAATGCAGAGGACACGAAATTGCTGAGCAGCGAAACGCCAAAGATCTCATTGACGTTGTGGCAGAGCTGCAGGAGGCGCTGATGGTAGACGACAGCTGCCTGAAGGAATGCCAGATCCTGCTGCGGTGAGACTAAGCCAGCCACATGCTCCTCGATGCGACGGCCCAGGCGACTGAAGTGCATCACCAGCAGCGTGACGAGGGCGCACATTAACATATCGGCGGCCAGCTGTCCCGAAAGACACGTCTGTCCTGCCACATTCTGGGACACGTACATCAGATAGTAGCTAGAGTTGGTGCTCCAGTCCCAAGGCACCCAGCAGTAGTACGGTAGCATCCTCACGAACTGGCGGATGCCCAACCAGAAATCGTACACCAGATAGTTGATCGCCCAGTAGAGATTGTACGTCCAGATCAACACCAAGTGCATGCCAAAGTAGAAGATGCTGTAGCGATTATATCCACTCAGATGCTTTGCCACTTCGTAGGCCTCCTGCTGATGCTTTGCCCTGGGATGCAGCTGCTCCATCTCCCGCACGACATGGGTGATTTGGTCCCTCTTGCGCCAGATGTGCCACACCTTGAGATCGCCAACGATCACGAAGCCAATGAAGGATAGATTCATGGTGGCCTCCAGGAAGTTTGTGCCTTTTCCAATCGCCAGGAACACATAAATCAACTCGGAGAAGAGCACGAAATTCAGGTTCAGGATGAGTGCGATAAATACACAGCGGAGCAGGAGCGCTCTCATCTTTCGGCTGTCCTGATGGTCGTAGGCCTCCATTCCTATGGATAGGTAAAATATGTTTGCATACCTTAGAAACCTTTCCAGCGTAATGGGCTCCCACTTTTCCCCTGATTTCTCAACAGTTGATGGAGTTTTTCCGGGACCTTCCATTGTGATTGCTGACATTACTGCGCTTCCTCTTCTATATATAGGTAGGTACCCCTGAACATCGATGATTTAATAATTTACTGTTGCCACACACTTGACAAGTGCCACGCCCCTTTGATTACCATGCACGGGGGCGAGCATCTCTCAATTAGTGCGTTGTGAACCGTTACAGTTGGTCATCCAGGGGGGGCGTGTCTAATTGAGCCTAAGTCGAAATCGATGACTCCCCCAATTAATGGGCTACGCGGTGCTCCACACAGCTATGTTCTGCTCACAAATGTCAGCGATTAGTACGACCCCAAATGAGCATTCGAATGGACATGTTAACAAATAAGTAGGAAATGGTCTCTTAGCGGACAAAGACACGTATGGCTGGAAAAATCCGTTCAGCGTTTAGTGGGAATCTTAATATCCTTTGGCAAGAGTTATCCATCTATGTATGTAAGTATTTCTTCAGAGCAGAATCAAAAAGGGAATCACCAGAAAAACCCAAGAAATAATTTAATACTCTTACTTGTTTCGGAACTAACTTTATTCTAAATCAATTATAAATTGTAATATTTTCATGCCACACGGAAATTCATTTGGCACACTTCATTTGCTCAGCCCCGACACACACACAGACACATATATCCATATGCGCTTTGTGTGGTTCATAGTACGACAATATCAAATCCAGGCATCTTTATAGCACAATCTCCGCAGATATATCTGGATAGGAGTGTGGCTTTGTGCAGTGACAGCATTAAATTTGACATGCAACAAACACGAGACTAGAAAATAAGAGGTATGTGAGAGATGGAGCTGGCAAGATAGGGAAACACCATACAAGTATCCAACAGTTGCAAGAGTAGAGATTTTCTTTCATTCCTCGCTGATGCATACCCTTTAAAAAGGTATTATTCAAGCTGTAAGGTTGTTACGTATACGCACAATAGAAGTAAATTAAATGTGTATACATAAATGCCCTCCAATGGCCCACTAAAACCAACCAAAAATAAATATCATACATCAAATTTGTATTCCAATGAGAAAAGATTTTGATTCAAGTTCTATTTGCGTGACATGCAAGGGTATGCCAAGGCTCGACTTTCCGTTTTGTGTTCTATTTTTGTGGTTATCCTTTTTTGTGTAGGACAAAGAAACACTGTCGCTCTGTCGCTCATCCTTTCTTTGTCTCTGGCCCCGTGTCTGTACGAGTATTTCTGTATTTTAGCTTTGGTTTTTGCCTATTGCCTGTTTACATACTCACACATATCGCCCCTGACTGCAACCCATACGGATTCCTATTTCTTCTTGGAAACTGACACCCAGTTTGAGTGCGAAGGCGACTGGTAGTTTCGGATCAACTGTTTTGTAGCTCTCAAAGAATGCCAAAGTTGCTGGCTGGCATTGTTTTCCATTTGCTTGCTTATTCCATCTTTTGCTTTACTTTTTTTTTTTTTGGGTTTATGCTTTTCTTTTATCCGTTTTTCCTCGGAAAACACTCGTAGTATGTTGCAATTAAATGCAATTCAACGAAGCAAGCAAAGAGAGTGGGATGACAGCCAAATGCTGATGATGTGGATCAAATGGAGAGCACTCTAACTCTAACTCCCGAGTTGGACACTGCACATTTGACTCTGACTATTTGACCTCATTTGCGTATCGCATTCCTAATGAAATTTACATGACTATTCCATACAGCAACGTTAATGAAGAGCATTTATACGAGCATACAAATGTCCGTTCAGATATATGTATACAAATGTATATGTATGTATGTGTGTGTGCGTGTGTGTTCCGTGCCTGATATATGTATATGACCATATGAGATTTATTCTCAAATGCAATTAGCATTTTAAATTTATCCCACGCTGCGCACAATTTTTCACTCCTTAATGGCATTTGTAATGTTAAACCAAAATTAATTTAATAAATTGTTGCTGCCACCGCCCGGGCGGTCTGTCAGCGTTATGCAATTTTAATGCATTTCTATTTGCCACTTTAAGTTTTTTTTTATTTTTGCCACTGAAATGCTTGTATTATTTTCATTTTCCAATTGTTTATGTACAAGAATAGAAGAATGTCTAAAGTGTTTATGTATAGAATAGAAAATGTTGTGCACAGAAAAATGGAAATAAAAATACATAAATACTCGTACATACACATACATAGCTTGCAAATAATTCATTGATTTTGTTTCCAATATGTGCGTATATGTATGTATGTATATTTGGGGCTTTGTCAAGGTAAGCAATATGGGCAAATACTGAAGAGTTGCAGGCTGCACTCATTAAAGTTTCAAACAAATACTACTCAAATAATTTTATGCAATTTTAATGCAATCCTATTTTCCACTTCAAAGCTTTTGTTGTTTTTATTTTAGTCATATTTAAAGGGGATTTTATTCCTGTAAGCTGCTTTTGAACGATTTTAAAACATTTAAAGTAAGTTTCAGAAATTTGATATAATTTTTATTAGATTCGCAAGCCGTTATATGCTATAAAAACAATAAAAATATTAAGAATACAATAAATAAAAAAGAAGTACTGCATTTACATTAAAAGAATTTAAAAATAACAAATATAAATATTAGGAAAGAAAATGGTATAAAAGGGTGTAAATATTGTTAGAAAAATACATAGAGAATTCCATGAAATACATGAGTGAAAGAGAGGGTTAGAAAGTGGGAGAAAGGCACAATAGAAATAATAACTATGAACCCCCATGGAAATTTAAAACTCTAAGACAATTGTTTAAATATCGTAATTACCCACTTAAAAGTTAATTAAGAATAAAGAATATTGTTGAGTAATAATATATTTTCATTTTGACCAACATGATATCTATCTCTTCTGTACAAAACTGTAGCTTTCGCTTTTTCTTTAACTCTTTTTGCGGCTAATACTTATGTAGATTAATCCGCATACATATGTATACGGGGGAGATACGTACGAGTACGGGTATATGCAAAGCCCCAGCGCCTTTTGGCTGTGGGGCAAGGTCCTTGGGTTTCCGTTTTGCATTTCGGTGGCGACCCCATTATATGGGTTTATCTACAGCGAGAAATATAGAGAGAGAGAGAGACAGAGACAGAGACGGAGAGAGAGTTTGAGACCAAAAAAGGAAGGGGTCTGTGTGCCAATTTCCTGCCCGAAAACCTTATGTCTCCACAAAAAAAACCACAGTAAACAAAGCAATTATGTATACATCTATATGTATGTGTGTATACCTGAATACATATACAAATGTACAGACATATGTATGTATGTAGAGTAGAAGCTTTCGTTAGTTGGTTTGTTGCATTGTTGCATATTATCAAAAACATTTGTACCAGGAAAACAGGGCATCGGAAGCAGTTGGGTTCAGTTCTCGCTCATGATGTGGCCTGTGTGTGTGTGTGTGTGTGGTGTCTGTATATTTTGGCTACTGGCATTTTTGAATGTTTGCCAAATGTTGTTCTTGGCTTTGGCGTAATTGTTACACCAACAGTGAAATGTGCAATGATAAGGCCGCGATGTGTATTCTACTTCTCCATGGTATTTTTTTCCCTCTATATTTTCCTTATTTTTTGTTTGTTTGTTCTCTGTTGGAACTGCCATTGCCCTCTGCTGGCAATGTGCCATTTTTGTTGGCAGCACACACATGCTTGGGGTATCCGTATCCTCGGCTCCAAAAACATAATAAACTTAATTTAACTTGAGCTGTGGGAAATATCAACTGATAGGCGGATGATGTGAAATGACTTGCCGAAAGGAGGGAGGGCCTATATTGAAGGGGGCTTTAAAAAAATAGAAATCTATGGAGTAGGCAAAGCTGATACATAATTTGTGTGGGCACTGAACCTAAAGTTTATTTTTCCTTTGCGCAACACCTGCCTCTAGTTTGATGTACAAATTCTCACATGAGCACGCACGCTGCCAAATATATATAGAGCTACTCCCACAGGCGACTTCAACTTTTTCAACTTTTTTCGGAAGAAAAACTTTCACCATCGCAGTTTATTGGCGTTTTACGTGGAGCCTGAGAGTTTTTCCAAGCTCAGAATTGTTGGAAAAGTAATCTTAAATGCATTTTTCTGGTATTTAAATAATTTGGTTAATATTTGCCAAATGTTTGCTGATTTTTTCCACTGATTTGTGTAATTTTGTGCGTGAAAATTGCCAAGTGGAAAGAAAGTATTTGAACAAGGGGAGGGCAGTCTGCCAGCTGCCGCTGCCGCTGCCTTATATGCGGCGCTCTGTTTGTGCTTAACAAACAGACTGGCGGACAGGCAGACATATGTCTATATATATAATACATGTCTGGCCTGACTTTGACAGTCGCTGGAGTGTGTGGAGCTTTGTTGTGATCTGATTAACGACAAATCAAATCAAATGAGATAATGAGTCGGAATGGAATTACTCACGAGTGAGTACGAGTATGTGTGCGCTCAATGAGGCATGCAACCGAACCAAAAGCAAACCAACAGATTAATTCTTTAATGGTTGTAGGTACCCCTCACGTTACTCATACGCACTGTTCCCCATTCTGAGGTTTCGGAGGGTACGTTTTTTGTAGTTTTATTATTGGATCGACAGCTCTCTAAGTCCTGAGCTGACAAATTTCAATTGTGTGAAATAAACACAACAAAATTAGCCTAATACCCATGCTGGGGGCTGCTGCTACTCGTAACAGCAACAGGGTTAATAATAATCATAACAAATGCTCGCCATGACCCAAATTTCAGCACAGACATGGCCTCCATGGCAGCCTCTCACTCTGGAGAGACGGCACAGCAAATGATTGTTTAAATATTAAACAAGAATAAACATAACACAAACATAGATGTACATATGTACATACATATGTGTGTAGGCATGCTCCTATATATGTGAATGGAACAATGCATTTTGTGGGGGGACAAACAGAATGGGGAAGTACACACACAGCCCCATAGCCTGACTGTGGGTCAAATTTGCATAAATTAAAGAGCTCTGCAATGCCCATGCCAACTACAGACAGTGCGTTACATATTTATG